ATGTGGATAGTTAATTTTCATTATATTTCTTTTATTTTCTCCTTCAACCTTTTAGAATTATCACTGTCCAACTGGATGAGACAAAACCTGTAGAAATGAACTTGGGCCCATCAGCAGAAAGCATGACAATAAATGTGTCCAACCTGTACATAGGGGGGGTTCCAGAGGGTGAGGGGGCAGCGATGCTCCAGATGAGAAGGTCATTCCATGGCTGTATCAGAAACCTCATCTTTAACATGGAGTAAGTATAACTGCTCTCAGCATGTTTGTGACTTCCAGATTTTTTAATACTCAGTACTGACACTAATCTGCCATCTAATTATTCTGTTTGAGATTGCCTAAAATTCTACAAGTACCTGAAGTGAACCCCGTTGTTCTATCATGAAAGTCTCCCAAGTGGATTTAAAATAATGGATAAATATGGTCATCACAAATTTTTAAAAAATCATCAAACGTTAGTTCCACAGGACTATCAATAAACAGCAGAGGTCAAATATATTGTTGGCATGTATTTAAGAGACTAGAGATTTTGTGATGGAAGTTTCTTTTTGTCTGGAGGTCACTGATTTAAAGGAGCCTTTACAACTGTGCTACTTGCAGCTTCAGATTAGTAATGGCTCCTCCCAAAACAATAACTGCCTCATTAGGAACTGGAAGTCACCACCCCCTATGTTGAGCTCATGATGCAGAGGAGAATGAACATGTGCCCATGGGCATTTTGTTCTTTCCCACTCACCCTGTGTCTGTGGTCAGCGTGCTGGTGGGACGAAAGCCATGCTTGGACCTGGCAGACCAGAGTGTGCACAGGGGAAACTAAATGTGCGCTGAGCATGGGAGTCTGGAGTTCCCCTCTTGACTTGCCTTGTGACCTTGAGCAAGGACCTAGATCCTTCATGGTCTCAGTGTCCTTCTTTGTGAAAGAATCCCTTAGGACAGTGGTCGGCAAACTGCGGCTTGCGAGCCACATGCGGCTCTTTGGCCCCTTGAGTGTGGCTCTTCCACAAAATACCACAAACTACCACGTGTGGGCATGCACATACAGTGTGATTGAAACTTCATGGCCCATGTGCAGAAGTCATACTTGAATCTACTCATGTTAAAATTCATAGAGCTATATATCCCCAAAAGTCAACTGTACTGTGTGTTAATTTAAAAATCAAAATTGAAAAGAATGAAATCTTTTACAGATTTCAGACTACAACTCTCAGACTTCATGAATTGGCAGGCTTTAATGTCTGCAAAACCATGTTTCATTTTTCAAAATGGTGTGACAAAGGATGCAACATAAGGCAATGGAGTTGGGGGTCTCTTGGGAAAAGTTTTCCTTTCTCTTAAAAGGAGACACAGCTTGCTTTGGATGTTGTCTTGTGGAGATGTGATATGTGACAGCCGTCTTGTCTCCATGAGAGGAAGCCAGGAAAACTACAGAGCTGCTGACTTAAAATTCTGACACCTTGAGTGGCTGAATTAACCAGCCAGTAACTTATCCTACCTCCAGACTTGTCATGATAGTTAATAAAGCCATATCATTTCCCATACTGGCAGCTAAAGCCGTCTAAGTTGGATGGTACACCTGAATGTATATTTGAACTACTTTGCATAGCTTTTATAGATGAATTGGACACATGCCTTCTTGGTAAAGGAAATAAGAAAAAAAAATTTCTCTAAGAAGATTCTATGAACCATCAAGATGCATTTGAACCTTTTACTGGAAAGCTACTCACAGCCAATTAACATAATACAAAACTAATCACTTTTGGCAGGTACTTTTGTTCTCCAGATGGACAATTCTAAACAACTCTGTTAAATTGGGTAACCCATCCAGTTAGGTGCAGGAGAGTTTTGTAGCCAGCTCATCCTGTGAAGCTATGATGATATAATTTCATTGAAAATTTTATATTTTGCAATAACTATATTATTTTAACATAGAAAGCAGTGTTTGTAAATCCTGACCTTTTAACTCAAGGTCATCTCCTTCACACTCAGGATGCAGAACTTGTCACTGTTGAGTGATGCTAGCTCAGGCATTTAGCTGATCCCAAACTCATCTATGCGGGAAAAAAATCCTGGCCTTGCTTTTATGTGGGACCACTACAATTCAGGTATGACCACACATCAGGCTATTACAGTGGTTCTCAACCTTCTGGCTCTTTAAATACAGTTCCTCATGTTGTGACCCAACCATAAAATTATTTTCGTTGCTACTTCATAACTGTAATGTTGCTACTGTTATGAATCGTAATGTAAATATCTGATATGCAGGATGGTCTTAGGCGACCCCTGTGAAAGAGTCGTTCGACCGCCAAAGGGGTCGCGACCCACAGGTTGAGAACCACTGGTTTAGAGGCTGATAGGAGTGAAGTGCAGCTCTGGAGGCTTACTCGAAGGATTGTCAGTTTTAAAGCACTTTCTTGACTTCAGAGCTGCCTCTCCACTGGTAATAAACTAAATTGCATACTCTAAGGCAGTGGCCGGCAAACTGTGGCTCACGAGCCACATGCGGCTCTTTGGCCCCTTGAGTGTGGCTCTTCCACAAAATACCGGCTCTTCCACAAAATACCGACTTCTGTGCATGGGCCACGAAGTTTCAATCGCACTGTACGTGCACACCCGCACGTGGTATTTTGTGGAAGAGCCACACTCAAGGGGCCAAAGAGCCGCATGTGGCTCGTGAGCTGTATGTGGCTCTGAGCCGCAGTTTGCCGACCACTCCCTTAGGAGTCTTTGAAATTTGCAGTAACACATTGCTTTGGATTTCAACACAAATATAATGTCAGACTGTAGGTTTAGTTATTTGTACACGATATATTTATTTACCCAATTGTTTGCTTATTAACTAATTGATTAAGCATCTTTATGCTCCTGAAAGCCATGAGGCTGGGAATGTGGTAGGGCAGAAACGTTTCTGTGCTGTACATGGCCGTGTCCTTGGCATGTGCCAATAGGGTATGTGTGGACAGCAGATATGTTGCCAGACTTCAGGGTAAAGAGACTTCTGACAAGTGTAGTTCATGACTTTCTGGCAAAGAGAAACCTGTTAAGAAATAATCAGTGTTTGACTGAAGCCACTGGGCAGTGCTGTGAGAGCAAGAGGCAGAATCTGGCCCTGAGGCGGCCCAGCCAAGGCTGCAGGAGGAGGTGACCACATTCCAACCAATTCTTGAAGGATGCTCAGGAATGGCTGGGTGGACAACAATGCGGGGAGGAGGTGGGAGGCAGAAACATCAAATAAGAGAATATATAAAAATAGCTGGGCTTCTAGTCATTGTGAAAGATATGTCAGTTTGGTTATATTGAGAAGGCTAAAAAGGCTAATTCCAATGTAACCCTGATTTTTGGGAGGCTAGCAATCTGAATCTGTGCCAGCAAGCCCAGTGTACATTCTTGATAACCTATAATTAAGTCACTGCCTCTTTCACAGAAACTGGCCTTGCAAAACCTGTTACCTAAATACAGAGGCCATAAACTCTGAACAATGCACAGCCCCAGAGGGCAGGGGTTATTAGTGCTGGCGCCAGGCCAGACCATCAGATATGGTCTCAAGACACCCAACACCTGGGGCCTTTTTGCAAAGCCTGTGAAGGGACCAGAAGCATAATCTATATTTGAGGGACAAAACCTCAGAAAGATATAAAAGAGAAGCCCCCTGCATGTTACTTTACTCAGATTTGAGAAGTTATTCCACTGGCGTAATAAACAGTGTAACTCCTTTTCTCTAAACACATTGTATGCGGGAAACGTATTTATACTAAAGCAGCGGTTCTCAAACTGTGGGTCGAGATCCCTTTGGCGGTCGAACGACCCTTTCACAGGGGTCGCCTAAGACCATCCTGCATATCAGATATTTACATTACGATTCATAACAGTAGCAACATTACAGTTATGAAGTAGCAACGAAAATAATTTTATGGTTGGGTCACAACATGAGGAACTGTATTTAAAGGACCAGAAGGTTGAGAACCACTGCTCTAAAGCATTGCTTGGTTTTTCTCTGGTCTTCTGCAACAATATCAGTGTTTTTTTAAAGAATTTTATTTGTTCAATAAGTAGGTGACATTGATTCATGTGTTAGCTTGCAATCTTTTGATTATTTTTGAAAACACTTTGTGTCTAGACCTTTGGATTTCACTGGTGTGGTCGGCTATGAACGAGTGGACTTGGACAGCTGCTTGCTTTCAGAAAAGCCTAGGCTGGCTCTTCAGGAAGAGGACAGCAAGCTCCTGCCAGAGCCTCATCCTCCACCACGTCCAGTAAGAAGGGTTTTCTTTCATTGTATCAGGCGCAGCCCAGAGGAAATTAAAATGGGGGCCTCGTTTCACAGAGTAGAGGAAGCTGAATGAGCCCACTGGAGCAGTGACGGAAAGGGAGGAGGTGGTGCCACCAGTCTGGGGGCAGGACTGCTGAGGGAGCAAGCCTTCTGGTGGGTATAGAAGCACAGAGAAGACGGGCCCTGCCAGGGAGGCTAACGGGAGCCAGAAGGGAGGGGGAAGCACTCAGCTTCTTCCATCCACCCGCCCTCCAACCTCCCAGCATGATCCTCCATTGGTAGAGCCAGCTGGAAGCCACTTTTCAAAGGAGCCTGTACAGTTAAAGGAGTCATCCCTGCGATGAAAAGCAGTGCAGGGGCAGGGAGGGGTATGGTCCTCAGCAAACTCACAGGTGACGTGGTGCAGCCTTTACGGATTGAGTATAGCACTCAAGCACTCACATTTGGCTGCCGAACCACAAGCTTTTTACAGAGTTTCTGTAAGGATTCATGATCACTTTGGATTTAGTCAGAAATATGAAAATAAGTACTTAATGCAAGCCATTGTACATATCACTGTTGCTTTAAAAAAAGGATTTGATTCATCTAGGAAAAGCCAGTTTTGAGCAAGTATTTTTAACAACAGCCATTATTAGTTTTCAGTGTCTCTTCCCTTTTGTGATTTCTCCGTTTCCTTGGTTGAAAGCACGCGCTCTAATTACGTAGATGCTGGTGCTGTCTCGGGAAAAGCAGTTCCTTCCCAGGGCCAGTCTTTGCATCCAGGACAGTTCTCTGGTAGCATCTGCCCACCCCAAGCTGGGAAACTGAGTCCGAGGCCTCACTGGTTTTGGGTCAGTGTGTGGAGGGCACTGTGGGGCACAGGTGCCCGGGCACCTTCTCTGGCTCCTCACATTCTGCCCTGGGGGTCTAGGAGCCCCTTCCAGCTGGACTCCTCTTGGCTTCACCTCCTGTCCATGAGGAATTAGAGACATCAAACTCGGAGGCCCTGCTGCCACCTGTGGGCACTTGTGGTGTCCCAGGCCTGTGCTGCAGCGGCTCCTGCAGGGCTGACATCTCCTTTCGGGCTGCGGAGAAGGTGGGCAGCAGCAAGGCCTCACCACTTGAGTGAGATTGAGGGGAAAGACAGACACTCCAATTGCCTTTGTGGACAGATAAAGGGCCAGCCAGTAAATTCTTTAAAACAAAGATTAAATCAGTGAAAACATGTATTTATGGTTGTTGATGTTCTGATACCATTGCTTCTGAGATGTTTACTTCATGGAAAACTGTGCATATGTTAGTGGGGGTCCTGGAGGTGTGTGGCTGAGAGTCTTGTGTGTCTCTTACAGCAACAGTGCGCCATGGACGGAACCCCAGAGTATGTCCCCAATGCTCACCAGTTTGGACTCACACAAAGCAGCCATTTCGTGCTGCCTTTCAATCAGTTGGCTGTCAGAAAGAGGTAGGCCTAATTCTGACATTCTTATAAGGCGTCCTATTGCTACATGAATAGGGAGGTATTCTTTGCAATGGGCCTTCCCCAAAACAGCTTCTTGTATTTATTATGGAGCGCTCAACTGGCAACAGAAAGGCACAATGAGAAGGCAAGGAGATAGGAAAGCAGCCTTCATGCAAATCAGATACTTACAGTGTGGAGAAGTGGGGTTCCTGCAGTTTATCTTCACCTCTTGTAGATGATGGTTGGTTTAGCCTCTGTGTGATGTAGGAAAGCATGGAAGAATCTATCTAAATCACTCCTCAGTCCAGAATCCAAAGTCCTCTAGATCTATCATCATCTAGACTTTCAACACCATTCTATTGTAAGGATTCACTAATCTCATGAAATTGTCTACCCAAACTCTCACTGTGCCCCTCAAAATTCCCCGGGGCCACATTCACATTGGTCGACACATTCTATCTCGCCCTCAAACCTGCCTGTCCCCAAGGAACCTTCTCAGGGGACGCTGGCTCACATGCCGCAGATCTAGAGGCCTGAGGCTGGCCAAGGGACCTCCAACTCCGCCTCTCTCCTCTCTGCATCGAATCTCTGGCTGATCTGAAGTTCATGTCTCTAGACTCTGCCACGCCCTGCTCCTCTTGTTGTTGCCCTCTGTGATCAACCCCCACCCCCACCACCTTCAGACTGTAGCTTAGTGTCTTTTTGTACCACTCCTGCTGTCATTCTCCACGAATTCACAGCCACCCAACACTGGGCCTTCCAAGTCCTCTGGTTCCAGTCTGTCAGAGCTCTTTTTCTCCCTTCCCAGCCACACTTTCCCCTTGGTCATCCCCTTACCTACTTCATAAGTATTTATTCCACCTCCAAAGTCTCTACTTAAGCATCCTATATACTTACCTCTTCCTCATCTCTACTCTGTTGCTCCCCTAGGAGTTCCTCAGCTTCATCAAGACCTCTAAGCCCTCATGCTTTTTCATGATCATCACCCCCTTCTCTAGCCCCGAAGTGCAATTTATCCCCTACTCTGAGAGGTGGGATGCCATTATTACACATTCCTTTGCAAACCCCCTTAATACCCTCATCTCCTGTATCTTGACCACAGGTAAAACCCACACTTGTTCTTGGCCTAATTCATGCCAGAACCCAAGCTGGTGGTCAAGGCTGCAGAAATGCATGTCTCTTTCCTACCTGGTTTGACATTAAAGCTATGGCCACACATAGAACCTCAGGCTACATGGGGAGCCAATACATTTCTTTATTATGCTTATATATTTTTTTATTGTTTCATAGTTTCTCCTCTTATCTCAAAACTCATATATCCCACTTCCTGCCCCAGCTGATGACTTGCCTCACTGAGAAGACAGAACTTCATCTGTTCACCTCCGAAAAGAGCAATCCACTGCTTTTGTCTCCACACCTCCCCCTCTTCCCCTGCGACCATGGAGGGACAGTCCTCGTTCTCCTCTCGCTCGCCCTCCAGAGCCTGTCACCTCTCTCCTCTCAGAGACAACAGCAGCAAACGTATCTCCTTCCTTCATACATAATTCTCATCAACAAAGAATCCTCATCGCTCTCATCATCAGTGAGAATAGAGGAGTAAACACTGCCAGAGACTGTCTCAGTATATTTTACACACACACCCTAACTTAGTCCTCAGAACTATCCTATGAGGAAGGTATTATTGTTGTCTTCATTTTATAGACAAGGAAATTGAGAGGCACAGGGAAGTCAAGTCATCTGCTCAGAGTCACACAGCAGAGCTGGAATTCAAACCCAGGCACTACGGCCCTAGAGTTTATGCCGGTAACCATGCCCTTTCTAGTAGTTTTTAACTTTTAAAATAGAAACTCTGCAGGATACCATTACTTTGCAATGGTGTCCTGGGTCTGTTGTGCAGTAAGATTTCTTGAAGGAGTTGTTTTATGTGGCTGTCTGCCTTTTCTCACCCCTCATTTCCTCCCCTACCCATCCAGTCAGCCTCCCCTCACTCCTCTATTGCTCTTTAACATATATATATATTTATAACGCTTCATGAATTTGCATGTCATCCTTGCACAGGGGCCATGCGAATCTTCTCTGTATTGTTCCGATTTTCCTGTATGTGCTGCCAAAGCAAGCACTCCTCTGCTCCTAGTTCCAGAGTTGTCCCAAGACCTGCTATGGAACCTCCTGTTGTACCTCTGCTGCTGGGCCCTCAGCAGCATCATGCACACATGGCCACTTGACATCCTTGACCCACACCCTCCTGATTTCCTGCTCTCTCCCTGCTCAGTCTCCTTTGCTGGCTCATCTTCTACCAGTAAAGGCCAAGGTCCCTTCCCCATATTCTCCCAGGTGGCTTTGAAATACCTTCAATTTGCCCAACACCCACATCTCTAGCCCTGACCTTCACTTAGAACTCAGGAGTTGTGTACCCAACTGGCTACTTGACATCTCTGTGGATTGGGACAGGCTCCTCAATCTCAACACACCAAAAGGAAATTCACAGTCTTCCCCAAACCTGTCCCCCTGGTCTGTGCTATTTCTGTCGACATCATCACCATTCACCTGGTTGTCCAAGGCCCAAATCTTGAGGTTATTTTCTTTCCCTCACTCTCCAAATTCAGTCCATCTGCAAGTCCTATTGCTTCTTTCTCCAGAGCATTTCATGCATTAGATCACCTCCTCTGCATCCCCCCGACCACCACCCTGGCCGAAGCCACCACCAGGCCTCTAACAGCTGCCTGCCTGAGCCTGCTGTCACCCTGGCCCATCAGATTTGTTCTTTACATCTGAAGTTTCTTTTAAGATATAAATCAAGCCATGCCCACTCCTCTTCTTAAAACCCTCCTGTGACTTCCCAATGCACTTAAAATGAAACCTAAATACTGCCTCCCAGAGCCCCTCATTCATGAGGATGGAGCCACACCCCCCTTTCCTATCCCAGGTTGCTTCAGTCACCCCACATTGCCTTGTGGGAGATCACCAGACACAGCCTTCCCCTTCCCCACTGTGTGGTGCCCTCTCCCACGTGGCTCTCGTGAGGATTTCCTGCAGAGGTTCATGGGACTTGCTCCGGTCTGTCATTCCGAGTTCAGCTGAAATACCATCTTTCAGGGTTGCCTTCCTGCCTACTTAACATAGCCACCACTGGGCTCCTCACGACCCAGTCTCAGCTCTTTGGTATATTTCTGGAATTAGTTTCATGGGAGAAGGAAACCTCTCTTTGTTCACTGCCTTAGCCTCAGCTCCTAGAACAGTGCCTGGCAGATATGGGCATGCAGTAACCATACTCTCCTGAGATGCTAAATATAATGTTGGAATAATTACTGGGTCCTCTCTTTGAGGTTATTTTAGAAAGTAAATGTGAGGAAAGCTTTTTCTTTTCTGCGGGCTGAGCTCTTCTTTTCCTCCAGGCTCTCAGTTCAGCTAAGTATCCGAACATTTGCCTCCAGTGGACTGATTTACTACATGGCCCACCAGAACCAAGTGGATTACGCCACGCTCCAGCTGCACGGGGGCCACCTCCACTTCATGTTTGACCTTGGGAAAGGAAGGACAAAGGTCTCCCACCCTGCGCTGCTCAGTGATGGCAAGTGGCACACGGTACGCTCCCAGGAAGCTCCTGGTCATGCCTTCCAAGTGTTATTCCATCTGTCCCTCGTAGTAACATTATTCCCTTGGGTTTCTAGCTTGCTCTGTGCTTGTCATCTCTCCTATAGAATATAAGTGCCTTGCAGGCAGGGGCCTTTTCTGCTTCCTGAAATATCCCCAGGACCTAGCTCAGTGCCTGACCCCTCATAGGCACTCAGCAAACATTGGTGGAATAAATGAAAGGTCCCAAAATGTTCTCAACTTGACAAGAAGTAAATTAACTCACCCATGGTGTGCTGGCCCAAACCTGAGATCATGGCACCTGCTTTCTTATCAGTCAGACTCGGGCACACTTACTTTTCTAAAACATGCATTGCCTGTGCCTACTTCCGTCTTCTGCCAGGCTCAGTCTCCTAGCAACGCCAGCTGTGTCAAACTGAACCATCCTTTAGGATGTCAGTCAGGTTATTACAGCTCTAATGAACCGAGTTGCAAACAAACATCTGTTAATGTTTTCCCATCCTTAAAAATCATGGATGTTTTCGTTTTGCTCTAGGTCAAGACAGAGTACTTTAAAAGAAAGGGCTTCATGACAGTTGATGGCCAGGAATCCCCCATGGTGAGCACGGTGGGAGATGGCACCACCTTGGATGTGGAAGGAAAGTTGTACCTGGGAGGCCTTCCCTCCGATTACAGGCCCAGGAACATTGGAAATGTAAGCAGCATTTTCTGTATGGGGCCCATATTACCTTTATCTTTGTTGCGTTTACTTTTAGAAGACCATGTCTTTGTTTAAATTGTCTTGCTTTTGGACCTGGGGTTTGGCTGCAAAATGCAAACCTTTCAAACCTCATCTCTAGTTTGTGTGTTTGGGCTTCCCCTTGAAGCCCAGCCAGCCCTCCTTTTAGTTAATGAACATTTGTCTTTCCACAGCTACTTAGATCCAATGAAATTTGGGAAAGTCCGGGGACTTTGTGTTTGCAGATTAGAAAACTCATTCTTGATTTCCATGATATTTATCCAAAATAATAGAAAATACATATACTGCATTACTAGCAAAGGTACTTAAAGAGTCTAACTACGCTTTCAGTTAGACATTCACGTGAAGTACTGTGGCAATTCCATTTTAAAAATCAAATGATAATATTTGAATGTGTTTTGTGGAACTATAGGAAAATGTTGCCCTTGCCCTCCTTGTTATATTCACTGCCATCCCCTCTCACGGCGTTTGGTTTAGGTCACCCACAGCATCCCCGCTTGCATTGGGGAGGTGACAGTGAACAGCAAGCAGCTGGACAAGGGCAGCCCAGTGTCTGCATTTGCAGTAGCCCAGTGCTATGCAGAGGCCCAAGAAGGAACTTTCTTTGAAGGAAGTGGATATGCAGCTCTTGGTACGTATTATCGAAAATCTCAAAAGACATCTCTGGGATTCTCTTGCACTGTAAGATGATATGGACCCGAGAGTTATATGACAGGGCAGGACCCACTGGACAAGGCTGCAGCAAGACCATTTAGTTACATGTTCCAGTGTATTCTGATTTCTCCACTTCTAATGTACAGCTTTCTCACTTCCTGTGCCACCCAGATGGCCTGACAAAGGCTCCCACCCCAGGGGCAGTGCAGCTCCTGGCAACATGTGGCCCTGCTTTCATCTGTACCCTCCCCACGTTTATGTAAGACATGCTCTTGCTGTCCAAGTTCATAAAGGCCTTTGAATTAAAAGTCAGCAGCATAAAATATCTAGACCAGCCAGCCAAATGCAAGTCGGATTTGATGAAGAAATTAACTCCAGTTAGATTGTTGAAAATATCAATTAGAAGTCGAGGAATTTTAAATCTCTGAATTGCTTTAGAATGTAAATTCCTCCAGGCTTAGAACTAGCCCTCATAATGTACCTGGCATTGCCTCCTCATTTTAGATACTTAATTTGCTGGTTGGCTTCCTATTTGCACTGAGAACCATGCTCCTCTTCTTCCTATTCTCCTTTCTATCACAGGGAACTAACCTCTCTGGCTACTTTGCCCTCGGCTTTTAGGAAGGTTCTGGTGAAGACTGGGGCAGGAGGGAGAAGGGGAGAAGCTAGTACACTTTTCTCCTCCACTTTGCTTCCAAGCTCTGGTAATACCACCTGCTCCCATTTTTCCTTCAGCCCTGGGTGTGGTAACAACTGCCTGCTATTATTGCTAATATCCCCAATTTATCTCAGCTTTTTTATTCACCTGAATAAAAAATTCATTCAATTAAGTCTCCACTTAAAAACAACAACACAAAACAAACAAAAAAAACCTAGTGGGGGCCCTGGCCTGGTTGCTAAGTTGATTTGAGTATTGTCCCGATACACCAAGGTTGTAGGTTCAATCCCCAGTTAGGGCCCATACAAGAATCAACCAATGAATGCATAAATAAGTGAAATAACAAATCAATGTCTCTCTCTCTCTCTCTCTCTCTCTCTCTCTCTCTCTCTCTCATCAATCAATAATTTTTTTAATTTAAAAAATTTAAAAAAAACACACTTGTGTCAACTCTAATATACTCAGTGAACGATGTCATACCCAGTATGTAGATATTGGGCAAATAAATGGGCTGTTGCACAGATGATAAATCCCTTTGCTTTTTCCCTGCATGGCTCTAGATGAGAGGATGGGCCTGCCTTGGCTCCAGTCTGGCTAAGCCCCACTGATTGTGTGTCTTTAGAAGCGTCACTTCATCTTACAGATGTGCAAGCTGAGGCTCACAGGGGAGAGGTGACTTGCTGGTGGTGGAGCTGGATCCAGAGAAAGAGCTACTAGAACCAGGTCTCCCGAACCTCAGTCAGGAGTCCAAATGTCCAGCCAGTCCAGCCTACTGTGGGGTGGTGGGGTCTCTCCAACCTGAGCCTTCTTAGGCCGGGCAGGACTCACCCATAACTTGGGGCTCTCCTTGTGTTTTTCAGTCAAAGAAGGGTACAAAGTTCGTTCAGATGTGAACATCACACTTGAGTTTCGTACCTCCTCAGAGAACGGCGTTCTCCTGGGGATCAGCAGCGCCAAAGTGGATGCCATTGGATTAGAGATTGTTAATGGCAAGGTAGGTGCTTATCTCCATCAATTCACCCTTTGCCCCAGGGTCTGAGATAAGAGCAGTTGAGAAACAGTAGAAATACCTAGACCCACACTTTAATGGAATGGAGAAAAGTTTCAATATTTAAAAAATAGATAATCTATATATATAAAAGGCTAATATGCAAAATGTCCCCTCAGGAGTTCGACCGGGAGACCGGGAGTTCAATCGGGAGACCAGGAGTTCGATCGCTTGCTATGACATGCACTGATGACCAGGGGTGGTGCAAAGATGGCGGGCAACCAGTGGCGGCGGGGCGCTGAGGGAGCGAGGGAAGGAGGAGGCAGGGAGGTGGGGAGGCGGGGAACCTGATTGGCCCTGATCGCCGGCCAGACCTATGGACCCTACCCGTGCATGAATTTTGTGCACCGGGCCTCTAGTCCTAAAATACTTTTAAAGAACTTCTTTTATAATTTTACATTTGAATTTAAAGCAAAACTGCAACTATAATACAAACACCTTCTTTTCCTGAACAATGTGAAACTAAGTTGCTGAACAGATGCTCCATTTTTCCTAATATTACTTGGAAATAATTACAGGTGCATAGGAAGTTGCAATGAAAGGTCCTCTTTCACATTTTGCCTAGGCTCCTCAGTGGCAGCATCTTGCATAATTCTAGTGCAACATCAAATCCATGAAACTGGCATTGGCACAATCCACTGAGCTTAAGTTGAGCCAGTTACACATGTATATGTTTTACCATATGTGTAGCTTCATATACCCCCACCACAATCAAGACCCTTAATTGTACCATTACTACAGTCTCCCTGGAGCCACCCCTCTGACTTTCTCCCTGCATCCTAACCCCTGGCAACCACTGATCTGTTCTTCATCTTCAGGATTGTTATACAAATGAAGTCATGCAGTATGTGTCCTACTGAGATTGTCTTTTCAACTCAGCCTTATTTCCTGGTGGTTTAGCTGGGTTGTTATATGTACCAATAGTTCATTTATTTGCCGAGTATTCCATGGGATGATGTACCACAGTTTAATTTTTTTAATGCAAAAAACCCAATTTTTTCTATAAGCATTCTGCTCTTGCTTTTCAGGCTCTAGTCTTCGTGTTGGGAACAAAATGATCTCAATAATTAACAGTACTTTAGTCTCTTGTTTTAAAAATGTCTCCTTCAGAGTTTCTGCCAGTTCTCATTCTTCCTCTCCCCTTCGAGTCCATCCGGGTGTGCTTTATTTACTAGATTAAGGGGAAGGGAGCCTTAATTGGCCTTTTCCTTTTCCGTGTGCTCTCTCCTGACAGCAGATGAGGTATAAGGACTTTCCAGATCTTCAGTCACAGCCTGTCTTTGTGCACTTGGCCAGTTGTCCCTGGTGGCTGTAGGAGCACTGCCAGTGCAGGGGGACTGCTCCTAGAGATTTGGCCAATGTCCCTTGTAGACCAGGCTTCCCATCCCAGCTGCCATAGGCACTGCTGCCTCTTCATCTTCGGCCACCTTCTGTATCCTCCAGAGGGTCCTATGAAAACCTGGGAATGTCTGCCCTGCCACTCATAAGACATGGGGAGTCAGGGTGGTGGACGAGGGTCCTCTCTCTACCATTTCTGCCACCATATCTATTGCACTGTGGTAAACTCAAGTTGGTTGGGACTAACATGCTTGGCTCTTCTTGAGCTACTGCCTCCTGGAAAAACAAGGAACAAGTCTCTATGCTCTAGATTCCCCCAAACTTACCTCTTGTTTCCAGTATTTCCTGCTTACTCCCCACAGGGGTTTTGATTCCTAGGAGATCCTAAATGAGGGTGGGGAGAATAGAAGAAAGTCATCTGACCTTTTGCTTCACCTCTTCTCCTTCTTACTTCACCAGCATGTCCAAACAAAACTGCCTCTACATCATATTGCTGCTCTCTACCCTGTGGCTTATAGCCAACTTTCTTCCTGATCTGTACTTCAAAAGGATTTTGAAAATTATGTGACATTTGAAAAATGTTATCAGAAGTGTAATGTGGTGAGCCGGCACAGCCATGGGTGACCCTGTGAGGCGGCGGTGAAGGATTTAGAAAAGACAGACAAGAGAAGAAGGCCATGGGTGAACCTGTGAGGCGGTGAAGGATTTAGAAAAGACAGACAAGAGAAGAAAGCTAGGTCTAGATGAGATGTTGCTCTCTCTGATGGAGAGACAGTGCCACAGCCTGCAAGCTGAGTCTTTATTTTATAGTCAGATTCCAGGAGGCAAAGTAAGGGTGTGGTTACAATGTTCTCCCAGGTTTGAATCTACTCAATTACATGTACCTCATCAAGCTTTGTTTACTTGCTGCACCTCCCACAGCCCATATCACTCAGCCACGTGGGACCACAGGTTCAGACCATAAGGTCAAGCTCACAACTATAGCCTTTGGCTCTAATTGTGCTGGGAGTTGCATGTGGCTTTGCCACGAGAGCATTGTGTCCTCTCCTTAGTCCCAGGCTTGAACCTGTCCAAACGCTGTAGCCACTCTCCACAGTGTATTAGTTGTAAAAAATGTAATGTTTGATGTACTGTGTATTTTACCACTGTTACTGGCTTATTTTATTGTTCTTTTAAAACATTTTTAGTGGTTGCCCCAGGGTTTACAATATACATCTTTAATTTGTCACAATCTACCTTGAAATAATGCTGAGTAGCTTCACATATAACATAAGAACCCTACAAGAGTATACTTATAATTCTTCCCTCCCATGTGGTTGTGGTGGAGCATCGATAGTTTGTCAGAAGGGAGTTAGTAAATGTTGCTCCATAGGTGCTAGCAGCTGCTAGGAACTGACACCCGCAGTAAAGCCATCAGCTCCTGTTGTCCTGAAAGGGGGAATCGACTTGAGGACACAATGCTAAGTTAGGTGGTGGCTCAGCCGTGTTCCCATGGAGGTGGCCGTTGCCCTTTCTGAAATTTCAGGGATAAGATAGCATCTGAATTCTTTAAGAGGCTATTATTAAAAACAAGTGTTTATTTTTTAGTTTGCTCCCCCTTTTGGCAAAAGGCTTGTATTTTATCCACTTAAAGTGATTTATAGAAATGGACTGTGCTCCTTAAATACGGAAAACTTCGCTAAGATGGTTGCTTGTGTCTGTTGTTTGTTTAGCTCTTATTTCATGTTAACAATGGTGCTGGTAGGATAACAGCTGCATACGAGCCCAAAGCTCCCCACACTCTCTGTGATGGAAAATGGCACACACTGCAAGCGAACAAAAGCAAGCACCGCGTGGTGCTGGTCGTGGATGGGAACGCCGTTCATGCTGAAAGTCCACACATCCAGTCCACCTCAGTGGACACCAACAATCCCATTTATGTTGGTGGCTATCCTGGTACGTATGGGTGTCAGCTCTGCTCTTTCACTTTCCAGGGCATTGTCGCTAGGGGAAGTCTTAATTCAGGTGGATACAGAATAGGGATTAAGAAAAATACATTGTTTGGGTAACAAATCCTTTACCGTTTTAGAAAGGCAATTTCAAATTCCTAGGAATTCTTGGGAAATTAAAATAAAGTACACATGTAAATTGATGATTAGGTAAGACTCAGAGAATATTGGATGTGATGGAAAAGAAGCTGGGGGAGTTTACTGAGGCCAGTCACCGTAGGTGAGTCCCACTATAAGGAATCATTTTTGGGTGGATAATCATTTTAGAAGACAAATACATATCTTATCCTCTCACATTGGTTTTGGGTTAGAATTATGCATTTTCAGATGTTCCAAGTAACTGTTACAAATGATAAAATAAACACCTCTTATGACATTTTAAGTCACAACTATGCCTTTAAATTATTACATAAAGTTTTCATTGACTTATCACAGAAGCCACATGTGTGGAAGAATATTATTCTAATTTTGATATAAAAGCCAGTTGAGTTTATTTTTGTTCTTATTGTGTTGTGCATGTCATTTTAACAAAATTAACCAGGACTTCTCTTCTTTCCCAAACAGCTGGTGTAAAGCAAAACTGCCTGAGTAGCAAGACCTCCTTCCGGGGCTGTTTGAGAAAGCTCACTCTCATTAAGGGCCCACAAGTGCAATCCTATGACTTCAGCAGAGCTTTTGAAATACAAGGAGTTTTCCCTCATTCCTGTCCTGGATCTGAGCCCTGAACTCCAGGGAAACTCCTCAATTCAGATCAATCATTGCTTATATTTTGAATAGTTATTTTTGTGAAATTTCTTCAGATTTCATTTCCAACTCAGGTTAAGTGTTTTCATAGAGTAAGTTTGTTTTTATGTTAAACTAAAACCACATGTACAACAAATACCTCTATTAAATAGTTTAAAATGTACACTGAATTCATTGGCTTTGTTCAAGTTCTTTTAATGAATCTTTGTAAACATTGAATAATTCTGTTAATTACTTGACAGAATTTCACAGTTTTATTTGTAAGCTTTTAGAAAATAAAATATCATTATAGACTATAATAGATTAGAGCAGAAAATGAATACTTTCCTGTCTTTACCAAAATTTTTAAGTTCTGATTTCTACAACAGGGAAGCAGTGCTACTGGTTATTCTCCAGCAGAGGGCACCAGCTGTTTGCCACATAAGCATTAAGATAGGCTCCAGGGGGTCAAGGGGTACAGGGAGCAAAGGAAAGAGCTGGAACCTCCTTTAGATATATCGTTGTTGAGCCAGGACATAACAGCACTTTTCAGGACAAAAGGCATTGCAACTAGTTTGCTCTTCCTTCATTGTCTTTTTAGTTTCACCCCTTGGAATGAGACAGTTTTCCTTAATCAGTTACTTTCTCTGGGAGAATGTGTACAATTTCAAAAGAAGGAAAATTTAAAAGCCACACATACATTCTTTTCAATGAACTAAGCAGTTTTAAACCCAGATTTCTGAAGTCTTATTTGATTCCCTCCAAATATATTTAGTTTTGCTCTGTGGCCATGGCTGGGGTCAAAATGGTTGTTATTCCATAATCTTTAGAAAACTGATTTCATTTTTCAAATGCTTACTTGGAGAAGAGGTCTCTACCTCTCTTAGCAGTGACCTACTTTTCCAATCTGGAGGATGATAAATTCAATTTCTATTTCTGTGAGAGATTTTAATTTGATAAACAAGAAAGGCAACTGTGGTCATGTTCCCTATATCCATCTTCTGTGCCTTGCTCACGTTCCTGAACTCCTGTGGCCATCTGCACATCTTTCCCAGTTAAGTCTCTGCTTGAAGATATTAGAGAAAGGTAGCAGCCAATTGGGAAGTCTGAGTTCTGTAGCACCTGGCAACTTAAGAATGCACACTCCTGCAGCCTAAAGGCAGCCACCTGGGCCTCTGGGGTAGGAAAGGAGCATTTGCATCTTAGCAGTGAAAATGCACAAGGGGGCTCTCAGGGGACTGTGGGTGGCCTTTCTGTTCATGTTTCTATGGAAACCATCCACAGCAGGAGATGACAGCTTGGCCATTCTAGACCTCAGTTTAGCACCTTGGGTGAAGAAGTGATTCAAACCAGGGGACAGAGCAGACTGTAGAGTTGCCTCAGACTGTGTGCCCCTCCCTTCCTCTTCCCTCTTCCTCCTTCCTACTCTCCCTGCTCGCTTATTAATAGAGTTAAAACAGAGTTTGGGATTTTGTCAGATGAGCATTAGTCATTATTCTGCAGAATCACTTCAAGTTTCATGTGCTTTTAGATTGTTTGATAGTGAAGAATGGCACATTTTATACCTAAGATTTCAATCCACAAATAGTTTTCTTGCCATCAAGAAGTAACTGGACAAAGGAAATGTGTGTGGCATTGTATCTAATACAGGATGCAGATAAAACATTAGAGAGCTTACTCCTGCACAGACAATAAAAGGATTAATTGCATCTGTAAATACCTTTAAGAAGAAACATTAAAGAAACCAAATATCCTATATAATAAAACCCTAATATGCAAATTGACCGAATGGCAGAATGACTGGTCGCTATGATGCGCACTGACCACCAGAGGGCAGGTGCTCAATGCAGGAGCTGCTCCTGGTGGTCAGTGTGCTCCCACAGGGGGAGTGCCACTCAGCCAGAATCTGGGCTCACGAGCTGCGGTGGCGGAAGCCTCTCCCTCCTCTGCTGCAGTGCTAAGGACCCCTCGGGAGGAGCAGGCAGACATCCCCCGAGGGGTCCCAGACTGCAAAGGGTGGCGCTGGCTGGGTTGAGGAACCTCCCCCACCTTCTCCACCCCTCCAGTGCACAAATGTTGTGCACCGGGCCTCTAGTCTTTAAGAAGAAATCAAGTTCAAAATGGGGGAGAGCAAGGGAGGGTATTGTCATCATTCCATATGGGTATTGTGAACTGTAAACAAACCATAAGGTAGAGTGGTTGGGCCTGGATCAATTACTGAAAAGAAATAACAAAAATAAGTTCCAACAGTTCTAGAGTTCTAGAAAGAGTCCTAGAATTTTCAAAGTGCTCTTACAGAAATGATCTCATTTTAACAATGATTAGGCAGCAGGCAGAAATGAGGTTTTTCATTTTACAGAGGAGGAGTGTCAATATCCTATATACAATATATCACATCTAATAAATAACAGGGAGCCCAAGTAATCTGAATATTGGTCTAAAACTTTTGGAAACAGCTGCCTACTTCCCAAATGGCAGTACTGACCTCACAGGTGAAGTTATTTTTGGACCGTTTAGACTAAAAATAATCCATAGGGGAGTATTTTTAGACCAAGCTATTAATCAAGATAATCCTTATGGGTTTTTACTTATTACATAAATGACTCTCACAGATCATGAACAGTGGAGAATAAGAAAGCAATCACAAGATCTTATACTTCCAAGCTGCTAAAGACAACATTCATTTATTCAATTTATATTGAACAACTATCACGTGCTAGCCACTGTGTTAGATGGTAGAGATCCCATTATAATGTGGAGGAAAAAAAGGGTTCTATGAAAAGTAACCTTGCGGGGTGATCTGATCACAAATTCTTAATTGGGCAGGGTCATGGTGGGTAGTCATACCCCAGGTATATAATTTCTTAGTGAAAGGGTTATCTTTGCCTTAAGCAAGCCCTATCCATTGTTTCTCTGCATCTAGTTTTGAAATAAGCCGCAGCCACCGTCAAGAGAGCACATAACCCCAACCATCCTGCAATCCAGCCCTGCCTTGCCTTTTCCCCCCAGCAGAGGCCATGGTGGTCACTTCTCTATCACCCTCCCGCCACTCCCCAGCAAGCAGCTACCATGCTGTAGCAGATGCTGTTGATGCCTCACCCACTTTCCCTGAACAGGTGATAGGATCACATCTACCAGATCCTACTGCACCCCTGGCTCTTCCTGAGCACTTTCTCTAGACTCCCAGGGCCATAACAGCCGGGGAGCGGCCCTCAGCCCAGGAAGCAGCCCCTGCCTCCACCCTAGTTTGATTGCCTGGCCTGGAATCTCGCCTGAAACCTCTGTTGCCTGTGCCTCCTTTATCTCAGATCCTCAGCCCCATTCAGACTCTGCGTTTCCTGACCCCCCACCCCGACCCCCGCCCAGCCAGGATCTCTGGACAGGACTCCGGTCATCTTTATGGGTGGACGTGGGCATTGGTCTACTTTCGAAAGAAATGGTACACAAATTGGGGAGGAGCGGGTGCGGCACGGAGTACAGCTGGCCCAGCTGGCAGCAAAGATAAGGGTGCTGGGAGTGGCCGCTGGCCTGGGACTAGCTCCCGCCAGGGGCGCGTTGGCTCCGCTCAGAGCCAGACCCAGGCCCTTCTGACCCGTCTGCCCGCGCAACTAACCACGGAGCGTGGGTCTCCGGTCACAGGAGTCAGCGTCTGTGCAGCCGCCCTCCCCGGTCCGCACGGCCGGCTTTCTTGGCCTCTCTAAGACTTTTCCCTGCGGTGCAGCAGCTGCCTGGCTCTCTCAGCGGGTCCCCACTTCTCAAGCCGACAGGCGGGGAACCCAGCGCCAAGTTCCTCCCGGCCACGTCCTCTGGGTCAGCGTGGCGGGGCGCGGGAAGGGGACCAGGACCCGGGATGCGGAGTCGCTCTGGCCCAGGAGGCTGTTCACTGCGGCCAGGCTGGCGATGGCTCCACGGCCTCCCCGCCACCCCGGGAGAAAGGCAGGGGCGGGGCGG